TGTTGTTGGAGATATTCTGGAGAGTTTTACAGAAGCTTCAACTGTCTAAGAGTTGTGCGAAGAGCTTTCTTTTCTACTGTTACAGGTAAGATTCATCTGTAGGAAAAGGTTACTGATTGCACAAGGTTTGAATTTCTGTTGGTAATTATAAGGCATTTGATTTGATTAGGCTAGTTACTTGCTATTGGTTGCTGGTTAATTAGCTATTGTTTGCAAATAAGCAGAGGCCTACCCAGGTGTTAAACATTCCTAGTGGGTGGTGATTTTAAGAGTTATATAAGGGTTGTTGTCATTAGCTTGGCAAATATAGCTTGGTTGCTTCATCTAAGTGTTGCTTGTAAGTTTGGCAGATGGATTACTGTAGGATCTGGACTTAGAGTTGTGGGTAAAAGACATTTTGCACAGTCTGTTGTTCTACATAATTCATTTTCTGCACTTTCAGAGTGTAATGGTGTTGTGGAGAGAGGCACTGAGGCTAGTGGTGTTGTGGAGAGAGGCACGGAGGCTAGTGGTGTTGTGGAGAGAGGCACTGAGGCTAGTGTTGTTGTGGAGACCGGCTTGGAGACTAATAGAAAGCAGTTGTTGTTGGGGGATTCCATCATAAGAGGTGTGGAGATGGACAATGGTGGTCTTGTGAGGTGTCTTCCCGGAGCTACTGCTCACAGAGACAGGAGACATATCTGTAATATTGTTAAGCAAGCAAAGCAGGAAGGGGAATTGGATGTACTTGTCCATCTAGGGACAAATGACTTTGCTTGCAATGAGGTTTCACAAGTTAAGGAAGTTTTAAGTGTTTTTGCCAATGACACTCAGAAAGACAAGCGGATGTGTATTAGGGACTTTAATTTGTGGCTTGGTGAATGGTGTTGAGAGCAAGGATTTGGCTTTATTTCTCATGGCAGCTATGACTGGAATAGAAATAAGCTGTACAAAAAAGATGGTTTGCATCTTTCTCAAAAGGGAACAAATGTTCTCAGTGAGCAGTTCAGAGGTTTTGCTAGGATTTATTTAAACTAGGATGGGGGGGGGGCAAAAGGGTGATAAAACATCAATCCAATTGTCCCCCAAAACAAGGACAGAAGGTGCCTGTAGCAAGAGTGTTGAAAAATTATAAGCTTAGAGTCATGTCTACAAATGCTCGCAGTTTAGGGAATACTTGTGGCAATAATGGCAACTGATAGTGTAGATTTAGTCGCTGTTACTGAGACATGGTATAATGAGAAAAATGACTGGGACATAGCAATACCAGGGTACTCTTTATATAGAAAAGAAAGGGAAGGCAAGAAAGGGGGAGGGGTGGCCCTGTATGTGAAGGATAGCATAAAATCTAGCCTAATAAAAGTTAGTGAGGCAAACATAGAGTCCGTTTGGGTTACGTTAGAATTTGGAAATCACACAGTAACTCGTGTAGGTGTAATTTATTGGCCCCCAGGACAAATTGAAGAGTTAGATAATCTACTAGTTGAGGAAATAGCTAAAATGACAACGAAGGGGGAAGTTATCATCATGGGTGACTTTAATCTTCCTGATGTAAATTGGAAAACAAAATGAGCTACTTGTGCCAGGAGCACACATATTCTAAACTCCCTACTGGGATTGTCTCTAAAACAGGTTGTTGAGGAGCCAACTCGTAAAGAGGCCATACTAGATTTAGTGTTAACAAATGGAGATTTGGCATCAGATATTACTGTAGGTGAAAGTTTAGGATCCAGTGATCATCAGTCAGTGTGGTTTAATATAAGAACAGTGACTGAGTCACACCACACAAAAACAAAAGTTTTAGACTTTAGAAAAACAGACTTTTCTAAAATTAGAATATGTGTAGAGGAGTCATTATCAGACTGGAGCAATTTAAATGGAGTCCAAGAGAAATGGGATTATTTAAAAGTTGCACTATTGAAGGCAACAGAAAATTGCATTAGGCTTGTCAGTAAAAGCAAAAAATTCCAGAAACCACTGTGGTACTCCGCAGATATGGCCAAAATAGTTAAAAACAAAAAGTTAGCATTTAGGAATTATAAAAAAACCCAGAGTGAGGAAGACAAAATGATCTATAAGATTAGGCAGAAAGAGGCTAAGCAAGTTATAAGAGCTTCCAAATCACACACAGAAGAGAAAATAGCACAGTCAATAAAAAAGGGGGATAAAACATTTTTTAGATACATAAATGAGAAAAGAAAAGTAAAACAAGGATTAGTTAGATTAAAAACAAAAGAAGGAAGGTATGTAGAAGAGGATAAAGGTCAGGCTGACTGCCTCAATGAATATTTTTGTTCTGTATTTACAGAAGAAAATGAAGGAAAGGGACCTCAGTTGAGAAAAAGGATAAATGAGTCATTTATTACATGTGAGTTTACAGAGGAAGAGGTTCTATTTCAACTGTCAAAAGTAAAGACAAATAAGTCAATGGGACCTGATGGAATACACCCAAAGCTATTAAAAGAGCTTAGTGGTGTACTAGCAAAACCATTAACAGATTTATTTAACCAATCATTGTTAACAGGAGTAGTCCCAGAAGATTGGAAGTTAGCTAATGTTGTGCCCATTTACAAGAAAGGTAATAGGGAGGAGTCGGGCAACTATAGGCCAGTAAGCCTTACTTCAGTAGTGGGGAAAGTGATGGAAACCATGTTAAAGGATAGGATTGATGAACATCTAAAAACACATGGATTTCAAGATCAGAGACAACATGGGTTTACTTCAGGGAGATCATGCCAAACTAATCTTATTGATTTTTTTGATTGGGTAACTAAAATTATAGATCAGGGTGGTGCAGTAGACATTGCTTACCTAGATTTCAGTAAGGCTTTTGACACTGTTGCACATAGAAGGCTTATCAATAAACTGCAATCTTTAAGTTTGGATTCCAATATTGTTGAATGGGTAAGGCAGTGGCTGAGTGACAGGCAACAGAGGGTTGTAGTTAATGGAATATATTCGAAGCTTGGACTTGTCACCAGTGGGGTACCTCAGGGATCTGTACTTGGACCCATTCTCTTTAATATTTTTATTAGTGATATTGCAGAAGGTCTTGATGGTAAGGTATGTCTTTTTGCTGATGATACTAAGATATGTAACAGGGTTGATGTTCCAGGAGGGATAAGCCAAATGGCAAATGATTTAGGTAAACTAGAAAAATGGTCAGAATTGTGGCAACTGACATTTAATGTGGATAAGTGCAAGATAATGCATCTTGGACGTAAAAACCCAAGGGCAGAGTACAGAATATTTGATAGAGTCCTAACCTCAACATATGAGGAAAGGGATTTAGGGGTGATTATTTCTGATGACTTAAAGGTAGGCAGACAATGTAATAGAGCAGCATTAAATGCTAGCAGAATGCTTGGTTGTATAGGGAGAAGTATTAGTAGTAGAAAGAGGGAAGTGCTCATGCCATTGTACAGAACACTGGTGAGACCTCACTTGGAGTATTGTACACAGTACTGGAGACCGTATCTTCAGAAAGATATTGATACCTTAGAGAGGGTTCAGAGAAGGGCTACTAAACTGGTTCATGGATTGCGGGATAAAACTTACCAGGAAAGGTTAAAGGATCTTAACATGTATAGCTTGGAGGAAAGACGAGACAGGGGGGATGTGATAGAAACATTTAAATATATAAAGGGAATCAACACAGTAAAGTTGGAGCTGCACCTAAGCTCCTATAAAGTGTGAGTGCATATAATTTTATATACCCTCACCTTGCTGTATTTTTTACATACTTCACTATCAGTTTCCTATTTCTCCTCCTTTGTATGGTTATATATACACACTCCAAGGGCATTCCAGGCGCTGCACCACATATTTACTTGCATTCTGTTGTTCTGTAGTATATATGTTTGCTCTTGTATTCAGAGCTGAGGTAATCAAATTCATCATAAGGGATGTGAGTTTTAAGAGATTTAATGATTGTCACTTTTTATATTGTAATTACTAGTAAAATACAGCAGGACAGGAAATAATTATTTTAATTAAGCAGGTCAGTTTGTATTGTTTCTCTACAAACAGCCTGTTTCACATCCTAACTAAATTTGTTAGAGATGTCTGAACTCATAAAGAGGCTCTCCGATTTAAAAGCTGAGGCTCAAAGCTTGTTTTCCGAAATAATGCAAATAATAGATTTCTCATTTTCAAAGATTCCCCCCACCCCCCATAGTGGAACATGTGTTAACTTCATTAGTTTGGCAGCAAAGGTATTTTAATGTTTCAATCAGTGGCGTACACACAATCCATGGGGCCCCGGTGCGAAAAATGATCCGTGAGCCCCCCCCCACCCCCGCGCTTACTCTGCGTAGGCCCGGGCCGCAACACATGGCGGCGGGCACCTGGTCGCAGGGGTCGTATGGCTGCGACCCCTGCGACCGTGGTGTGTACGCCAGTGCATGCAGATACACATACACTTAAAGGACCACTACAGACAACCAGATCACATCAGCTCAATGAAGTGGTCTGGGTGCCAGGTCCCTCTAGTTTTAACCCTGCAGCTGAAAACATAGCAGTTTCAGAGAAACTGAGGGTTAATCCAGCCTCTAGTGGCTGTCTCATTGACAGCTGCTAGAGGAGCTTCCGCAATTCTCACTGTGAAAAGACGCTGAACATGAGAAGACGCTGAACGTCCATAGGAAAGCATTGAGTCATGCTTTCCTATGGGTGGTTTGAATGCGCGCGCGGCTCTTGCCGCGCATGCGCATTCGGATCTGAGAGGCGGATCGGGGCGGAGAGATCCCCAGCGCCAAAGGAATCCGGCGCTGGAGAAAGGTAAGTGCTGAAGATGCACACACACACACTCTCACGAACAGATGCATACACACTAGCTAACAAACACACACATTTACTGACAGACACACACACACTCTAACACACACACTCTAACACTAATACACACACACACTCTAACACACACACACTCCCTACCTTTGGGAGTGCTGAGGGGATTCCCTGGGGTCCAGTGGTGTCACTGGGCAGGCTGGCTGGTGGGCGCGCGATGGAGCACTCTCCCCTGTGTGCTCCTTCTTCAGCTCCCTCGCGCACCGCACTGATACCGGAGCAGGAAGATGATGGTATCAGTGCGGTGCGTGAGGGAGCTGAAGAGGGAGCACACAGGGGAGAGTGCTACCTTGCGCGCCCGCCAGCCAGCCTGCCCAGTGACAACTAGGGCCACAATGGCTACATACCGGGTCACAGGGCGGCCGGGCCCCCAGGTGGACTGGGCCCGGTCACAGCCGCGACCCCAGCGACCCCGGTATGTACACCACTGGTTTCAATGTCAATCAGATGGCGTGCACTTTGAAATGCATTTGACTTCCTTACTGCCCGGGAGAACAGTGAGAAACAGAAAAGAAGGGAAAACATTAGAATTTCCATTCCAGAAATTGTATGTATTTTGCTACATGTGATTACATCATCGGGGCTTACAATCTATAAAAATGAAAATGGCAACTGAACCAAAAGAACATTGACATAAAAAGGTGCTTACTCTTGATTCAGTTCTTTATTGTGAGATATCATATTAAGTTTAACAAAAAGGCTGCAGCAATATAAATATTACAACTACAATAAAAAGGTGTTACAATTGTTTTTGCAGTGCATGTGGAAGATGTTAAACTAAAAGACACACAATAGTGTTTTTTTAGGTGATCTGCAGGTAGTATAATTTTGGCCAACAAATATAATATATAATAAGCAATGTCTGCCTGTTTTTAACTAGGAACACTTACATACAGTCAGAATGTGTGACCAGTTGCATATAGCAAGCATGATATAGATCCCAAAAAACATACTAACAGTTAATTATGTTCAGGATAGGAACCGGATTATGCTAGTTACTTTGGCCAATCATGCACATAGCTAAAAAGGCAATGTCCTGGCAAATGCATTGTCTTAACATTTTCTATTCTCCTGGGTAATCACTACTGTGAACCAGGTTCCATATTGGTCTGACAGCTAAATGGACACCCTTACTCACTTTAAATTATAGTGAGGCATAGATTTCAACGCTTACCATTGGTAAACTTCTCAATGAACTGTAATACAGATTAGTACTAAAGTAAAATATTAAATGCATGTTTGTATATGTACTAAATACACACAAAAATAGATAAAGTGAAAAGAGCAAATATAATAATACCATAAAAACATACACTTAAAATACCTTAAATGTCAATCACATACACCATGTGAATATATATAAGTGATAAAAGAAATTGATGTAAATATACCCTAATTGGAGGTTACAAAACTCTGTAAATGGAGAGAAGAGAGATAACTTTCATAGGGTAATACAGCAAGATACCATTATAAAAAGGTAAGTATAAATGGTAGTAGGTATTACATAGTTACATAGTTTCATAGCTGAAAAGAGACTTGCGTGCATCAAGTTCAGCCTTCCTCACATATGTTTTTGCTGTTGATCCAAAAGAAGGCAAAAAAACAAGGCTGTAGTGCTTACAATTTTGCAACCAACTAGGAAATAATACCTTCTTGACTCCAAAATAGCAGTCAGATGTCTCCTTGGATCAAGCAGCTATTACCCCACTAATTAGAAAGTATTTGCCTATATGTTATGTTTTTGCAAGTATTTATCCAATTTCAGTTTAAACATCTGTATGGACTCTGATAAAACCACCTCTTCAGACAGAGAATTCCATATCCTTATTACTCTTACTATAAAAAAAACATTTTATTTGCCTTAGATGAAATCTCCTTTCTTCCAGACTAAATGTGTGACCTTGTGTCCTATGTATAGTCCTGTTTTTTAATAGATTTCCAGATAATGGTTTGTACTGGCCCCGAATATATTTGTAAAATGTTATCATATCCCCTCTGAGGTGCCGTTTTTCCAAACTAAAGAGATTTAAATTTTTTAACCTTTCTTCATAACTAAAATGCTCCATTCTTTTTATCAATTTTGTAGCTCGTCTCTGCACTTTTTCTAGTGCCGTGATATCCTTCTTTAGAACAGGTGCCCAAAATTGCACAGCATATTCAATATGTGGTCTTACCAGTGATTTATAAAGAGGCAAAATTATATTTTCATCTCGAGATTTCATGCCCCTATTTATACATGACAAAACCTTACTGGCCTTAGCAACTGCAGATTGACATTGCATATTTCTGCCTAATTTGTTGTCTATAACAATTTCCAAATCCTTTTCGTGTGTGGTTATCCCTAATTCACTACCATTTAGGGTGTAAGTTGCTTGTGCATTCTTGACCCCGAAGTGCATAACTTTGCATTTCTCTAAATTAAATTTCATCTGCCATTTTAGTGCCCAATCCCCCAATCTATAGACAAATCCCTCTGCAGAAAAGCAATATCCTGCTCACATTTTATTACTTTACAAAGTTTTGTGTCATCTGCAAACACCAAAACATGGCTTTCAATGCCTATTTCAAGATCATTTATAAATATGTTAAAAAGAAGCGGTCCCAAAACAGAACCCTGAGGGACACCACTTACCACTTTTGTTGAGCCTGAAAATTTACCATTAATGACAACTCGTTAAGCCAATGTTCTACCCAAGAATAAGAATAATCATCTAGATCAATTTCTTTTAGTTTGAAGACTAACCTATTGTGAGGAACCATATCAAATGCCATGGCAAAATCCAAGTAGATCACATCCACTGCAACACCCTGATCTATACTTCTACTTACTTCTTCGTAGAATGCGATTAGGTTAGTTTGACGTGACCTATTTTTCATAAAACCATGATGATTATTGCTAATAACAAAGTTCTTCGCAATTAATTCCTGAATATTATCCCTTAATAGCCCTTCAAATATTTTCCCAGTCACAGAAGTTAAGCTCGCAGGTTTATAATTTCCAGGCAAGGATTTTTAACCCTTTTTAAATATAGGAACGACATCTGCCTTCCTCTCACACTCACATTTTCATGGACCCGTTCCTTTAACTGGCTCAAGTAAAAAGGCTTAAGTGTGACACTGGAGTCTGAATGCAGGTATAGCAGCAGTGTTTCGTCAGTGTTGCATAAAAAAAATATTTTTTTTATTAAAACCTTACATTAAGTTAAACAGAATGTCACCATATGGTATTCCCAAGCAGCACAACGCGTTTCAACGAATTAACGTCTACCTCAGGTGCTATAACAATAATATGGTGAATATCCCCCTTTTAAATTCAGTTTTGGCACGAAATAAGTGCCTGGAGCTGCCCTTTGTGTCCTTCTATATCGGGATATGTACTAAATAGTTGATTTTTTTTCCTATGGAGTGTTCCTATTAAACATAAAATGCTCAATTGCTACTTAGTGCAGAATAATACCATATAACATAACAATGACTGATGGAGTATCAAATCTTCATTGCAGTGTTTTTAGTTGTTGTAGGCAACAACAATCCAATTGATACAACAGTTTAAAAAAATGTGATGTCACAGATTGCTGAGTTCAATTTTGGTTAAACGGCACAGGTACATCAATGACTTTACTCGATCACTAAGATTCCGGGTTGATTGAATATACTAGTCACATTTTAAATGTTCAAAGACAATATCAGCTGCCAAATCTTACTGGATCACTTGAAATGGTCAGCAGTAAAATGAGCTAGAGTTTTCTCTTCTTAAATCCCAACGCGTTTGTAGCAAATAACTGCATGATGTAATTGTACAACAAACAGATACACCCCTTTCAAGTTGAATTTATTAAAAGACTACATAAGACAGCCTGAAAGCAGATCTCATTTGTGTGAAGCAGACAAATGTTTTCCCTATTAATTTAAAGATTTCAATCATTTAAGCAGGTGGCGTGAGATTTTGCTGTAGCTGACTTCAACACTGTTTATGCCCAAAGTGCATCGTTCCCAGCTCACACACTGTGGGATATATGTAAAACATATCACACTATATTTATTTGACTGGATGCTCTTTATTACTTAATAATGAAATTAGAAGTTTAATTGTGTTTTCAATTACACATTCCCTTACTCTAGCCAGATGTTCTAAGTATAGCTATTATCTGCTTTATATCAATGACATCAATGTGAGCAATAAACATGCCTTGTTTTCAGCTTTCTGATTTTTTTTCTCTTTTCTGAAGATAAGACTGCTTTGAGGAAATAAACATTAAAGCGAGCGATAAAATCATAGGCAATTGAAAGTTCACCTCTCAGTTTATGCATAAATGTGGGAGAAGAAAAATAAGATTTTTTATTCTGATTTATTGCATTCTCAAAAACGTACGTTTATTGTAGATGGTTTCCTGCCATGTGAATTCATTGCTTGATAAACAATCCTGAGAGAATATCAGTGCTTATTGTTCCATAAACGCCTAAGAATTTATCTGTGGATTTTAGCATATGCCCTTTATAACTAGTGTTATAACAAGACAGTATGCATTTATACATTGAATGCACTTATATTATAGATATATGTACTTTACAGCAATCATAAAATGCTAGTACTTTTGGGTTTTCAAATTAAGAATTCAAATATGTCAAATTGGAAAATACTATTTATTATTAAAAAGTAAAATTTTAAATGAGATCTGGTTCTTTGTCAATACATAGCTAAGTTGCACTTATATGGTGGTGATATTTTTTAACCACTTCGTGACTGATGCTGTACCGAGTTTTCATGAGTGGGACTTGTGCAATGCTGCTTAGAAGCTTCCAACTCTTTGTGGTCAGTAGAGGAGGCCGAGAGCAATATTTTGCAAACCCCAGATCAGAAGTCAAAGTATTCTAAAATGGCTTGGCTATTTACAATTAGGGGAACAGCCCACTGTTTTGGTTATGGTGCTTGGAGTGTTCCTTGAACAATTTTGCTTAAAGTGCACCCATACATACTATTTATAATTTTCTTGTGATGCACTATATGTTTACATAACTCAGTAAACGTATGAATGAATATTAAAAGATGTGACAAAATAGTAATAGTTGCTTGCATTTCAACAACAGTTCAGGCATATCTTGTCTAGAGCCTAAATTACACTGTCAGCTTAAAGAGACACTATAGTTCAAGAACATATTAAGCAGAAGGTATGAAAGGTTGGATTTGGTAGTGATGTGTCTTTCTAAATGTATGTTACTATGTAACTTTACAATGTAACACAGTACAATTTAATAGAACAACAGTATTGGAAAA